AAATATCGGCATATCGGATATCGGCCAAAATCCCAATATCGTGCATCCCTACTCTAAACACCTGCAAAAGATTCCTGAGGCCTTTAAAACTCCCAGCCTGGTTCATCACTCAAAACCCCAATCATGGGTGAGACTGCCGACCTGACTGCTGTCTAGAAGGCCATCATTGACACCCTCAAGCAAGAGAGTATGACACAGAAAGATATTTCTGAATGAATAGGCTGTTCCCAGAGTGTGTATGAAGGCACCTCAGTGGGAAGTCTGTGGGAAGGAAAAAGTGTGGCAGAAAATGCTGCACAATGAGAAGAGGTGACCGGACCCTGAGGAAGATTGTGGAGAAGGGCCGATTCCAGACCTTGGGGGACCTGCGGAAGCAGTGGACTAAGTCTGGAGTAGAAACATCCAGAGCCACCGTGCACAGTCGAGTGCCGGAAATGGGCTACAGGTGCCACATTCCCCAGCTCAAGCCCATTTTGAACCAGAAACAGCAGCAGAGGCACCTGACCTGGGCTACAGAGAAGCAGCACTGGACTGTTGCCCAGTTTTGCATGTCATTTCGAAATCAAGGTGCCAGAGTCTGGAGGAAGACTGGGGAGAAGGAAATGCCAAAATGCCAGAAGTCCAGTACCAATGTCAAGTACCCACAGTGCCAGTGTCAAGTACCCACAGTCAGTGATGGTCTGGGGTGCCATGTCAGCTGCTGTTGTTGTTGGTCCACAGTGTTTTATCAAGGGCAGGGTCAATGCAGCTAGGTATCAGGAGATTTTGGAGCACTTCATGCTTCCATCTGCTAAAAAGCTTTATGGAGAATCAGAATGACCTGGCACCTGCTCACAGTGCCAAAACCAGTGATAAATGATTTACTGACCATGGTATCACTGTGCTCAACTGGCCTGACAACTCTCCTGACCTGAACCCCATAGAGAATCTGTGGGATATTGTGAAGAGAAAGTTGAGAGATACAAGACCCAACACTCTGGATGAGCTCAAGGCCGCTATCGAAGCATCCTGGGGCTCCATAACACCTCAACAATACCACAGACTGATTGCCTCCATGCCACGCCGCATTGAAGCAGTCATTTCTGCAAAAAGAATCCCAACCAAGTATTGAGTGCATAACTGTTCATAATTATTTGAAGGTTGCTAATTTTGTGAGATAGGAATTTTGGGTTTTCATGAGCCGTATGCCAAAATCATCCATATTAAGACCTGAAATATTTCAGTTAGTGTGCAATGAATCTAAAATACATTAATGTTAAAGTTTTATCATTACATTATGGAAAATCATTAACTTTATCACAATATGATAATATTTTGAGAAGGACCTGTATATGTGGTAATCAATGGTGTGAAAAAGATGATCTAGTTACATGAAAATAAAAATGCATGTTTTTAAACTTTATGGACCCCAACATCTCCCCATGATAAATTATAGGGGTGCTATTCTTTCCAAGGACAAGGAAGCTGTTCAGAGTTTGTAAGATGGGTGGATTTACAGGATTAGAAATCCTGTTAGAAAACTAAGAAAAGACTCCAACTAGAATCCCATTAAAAAAGGATAGAAGATTGAGTTTATAAGCTGTCCAAATGAATATACATTTATATAAATTTAACAGGTACGTATACTTTAGTCAGGCACTGTAAATGACAAACCGGCTGAGCTGAAAAATAAAAACTAAAATAAACCTTCTACACCCAATCAGTTTAGGCGTTGAGTCTGGATAATAACTGCTCTGAAACCATTTCAACACTTACTGCCAAACCCTGAAGAGGCGGTGGTCGTGGTGGCTGTCGGGTTAAAACCAAACGTCGTTGAAGCTGTCGTTTTGGCACCAAACTGACCAAATGAAAACCCGGAGGTGCCTTTAAGAAGAACGCTTATATGGAGTTAAGCTCGTTTTAGCTACATCATGCATTAAAAGAAAGCAAGCTAAAGAAACATATTTAGTAGGTAATTTATTTAAACCGAGGCTTATGGAAACTTAAACACAAATAAGACATTTGTATATGTCTTACTACACATTAAACATGTACGTTCTCCAGTGCTAAAGGCTACAAGCATCCCCCAGTTATCATTAGCTTGAGTACCACACTGCTAAATGCTATTAGCAGCAGGTTAGCCGAAACGTCCAGTCTACCAGTTAGATGTACAACGTATTAGTCAATATCCCTGCAAACCCGCTTCTGTAATACACATTAGGCATCTTTAGTTATGATGAAGACCAAATATCGCTCGTACCTGCCGCTGTGTTGGTCGCAGCACCGCCAAAACTGAACGCCATGTTGACGACTGTCAGGGAACCAGAGCTCTTCTTCGCCTTCTTCTGCAGCGTCAACTACTCAGGTAAGTGGAGCAACGGCGCCCTCTGGTGTTTAAATCTTTCTTCGTCCTTCTTATTATTCTTAAAAAAAAAAAAAAAAAAACGTTATTGGGCGTTGTTAAATGACATATAACTTAAAAAAATGTTAAAGTTCGATCATATATTTTTACAGAAAAACACAAGCATAGGGAACAAAAAATAATAAGATAAATAAACAAAACTAATTAACCAAAAAACACCCAGGGGTCTACTACATGTACATTAAAATGATTATATAAATTAATTGTTTTGATTGATTTATGATTGATTTTTCTAGTTTTTCAATGGTATTCCAACAAGTTGTAAGATCTGTCATTTTAAATATATGAAAAGAGGGTATGTTTTTTTGCCAAATCGATAATATTTAGCTAAATTATGGTTGAATTAATTATATATTCACATTCACAAAATGTACAATTGTTACTTACAATTACTGTTAATACTGCAATTCTTACATACAATGTTGAAAAGAATCTCTTTGACTTTGTTCATACCAATATATTGATAAGGTACTAGGAAGATCAAGTTCAACAGTTTCCTGTCCATGGGAGTCCATCTGTGTTGACATACTACATACATACTGTAGTGGTAGAGACTGGTACAAGCTGGTTCCTGATTAAAACATTGATACATCTCTTATCTGCAAGTGGAATTCCAGCTGGAGAACCCAGTAAAAAACATGTAGAGGGAGCTGTTGAGATGCTTTGTGCAAAAGAGATATAGAAAATACTGCTGGGAATAGAACTGATCATCATTTCAAACTCTTCTCCAGAACTATCAATGTTATATTTTTCAAGAAGAGCACATGTTACTATGAGCATTAAAGTCACCACACCAAATGACCCTGGGATAATTGTGCCCTTGAACACAAAGTAGACTCAGTAACTCTAACCTGTTACATGGATTATAAGTGCAGTAGTCTCTTTATTGTTCCAAATTTCCACTACGATGTACTTGTGATGACCTAAAATCCTGGATGGAATGTCTTTTTTCTCTTTTAATTACCTCACATCCAGCATAAGCCAATCTATGGGCCCCTCAACAGCTCACGGCCACAACATCTGGGTTGCACTCCTGTGCTAGACTTCCAATAATCATGGTCTTGCACATCCTCTTTTCTGATTACAATTCTTTGCAATGTGCCCAAAGCTCTGGTAGTTGTAACATCTCAGTAGTTTCAGCATATCATCTCTAACTTGGTAGCATATAAATCCCCAAAATAATTCTTTGCCAGGTTTTCCTTCTATAACTCAATAAAATGGTGTAACTTTCCTTTTTAACGCAATCTTTAGTGGAACCCATTTTTATTAGATTTATCACTTTCCCTCCTTGTTTCTTCATCCTCTTATCAATGGATCTTATAGTATTCTTAAAGTTAATAACGACACCTAGTGTACATACGTTTGTGGAACCTCACAGCCTTATATTACAGAATATTTCTATATTTGAGTTTTATAGTAAAGAATAAAACATGGTGTGGATTTTGCTCTTTGTCGCTTTCAGGTCCTAATTCTCTGTTTAGATTTTATTTCTCCCTGCTTCTCCTACTGTTTCTAAGCTGGATATTTAAAAAACACTTTATCATACATGACTCTTTCTCTTTCTTGACAACCCTGATAAAGTGCCATTTTCTTCAATGACAACATCTGGAAATAACCACAGAATTAATTTTGTTATTTGACAGGTTTTAATTCAGTGCTAAACAAACATCCATAGTGAGCTATGAAAACCCATCACTTCAGAAACCTTAAAATTACCAAGCTGAGGCAAACCTTGATTAACGCAAGGAGACATTTCTCCTAAAACTATTATTTTATTGTTGTGAACACATTAAAAACATTACTAACAGTCAACATTTCAAAAGCAGACAATCAAAGGTATATGTGGAAATATCAGTAACAATAATTTCACAGGATAGAACTTCATATTTTGGCACCAAGCATTCTGAAATACAGTAATCTGTACATTCTCAGTGTTTTGGTTTTGTACGTGTAACAAGAATAACTTACCTTCTTTTAAACATCTGCCAGATATTCTATGGTATAATACTGCTTTTTTATGAACACCTAAATTTCTATCTATAAATGTATCGCTCTCGCGTATAAAAAGAAGCTTTTTTCTTCTGAGTAACTGGGTTAATCTATGCTTTAAAGAGAAAAAATACAATCTAATAAAGACGGTATAATCCCTCTGCTGTTTTTAGATATGTACATAGTTATGCATAGGGAACTGCTGTCAAAACCCAGGATAACATGTTTGCTAACATGTTGGAGGAGCAGTCGTCACAGCTGGGGCTCATCACAGTTTCACATGAATCATTCCACAGCATTTTCAAGATTGCATAAAAAAATCACATTAAAAATACAAACAACCTTCCGTCTCTGATTTCACGCAAAAAGCAACTTCCATCAGTCCTATCTTGTTTTTGTTTGGTAGCTGGAGGATGATAAAAGTCATACGGAAAAAACACTCCATTTATAAACCTCAAATACAACAGAAGGCACAGCAAACCTGATATTTTACACACAGCTACAGCAGTTTAAACCCTTTTTCTGAATAAAATATGTGTTAGTTAGTTAGTAGTTGTAGAACGTGTAGAAATCTTTTCATATTAATGGCTCAAGGTGTTTTAAGAAAATATTTGATTCTGCAGTAGAGTACTCTCTGTCTTCATTTATTGTAAGTTCTGTGCAGGGTCCAAGACCAAAACATTTCTACTGCCTAAAAAAAAATAAAAAAACAATTCTGGAAACATATGACTTTCATTTTGAAGATTATATAGAAGCAGAACTATAAAACAAATGTGATGCCAATTTTTAAAAGGCATCATGAACTACCGCTATAAGGGCGTTATATAATATGACTGTGTTTGAGTTTAAAAGGCAAACAAAAGATGCACATGCCCAATCCTGTCCTTGACACCACGGTAAGCAGAGGAATAACAATAAGCTAATGGTAATTTAAACAGGAAATAGAGGTCGGAGGCATCAAAGAAGAAAATTATCTCTTATGCGCAAAGCATATCATGATAAGGTGAAGCTGTAGAGTAATTATTGTCTCACCCAGAAGTAAAAAATTATTAGGGATCGGAGAAAAAAAAAAAAAAAGATTTATTTCTAAATTACCTGAATTTTCTATTACCCAGTTATGTTGGCCAATATTTTCTGTTTTCAATACCTGTTGCACAAAGAAACATCACAGACCACTTGCTGTCTAATTAATCATGAATTAATCAATTAGCTAATCATTAACTAGTCTGCTCTTACACTAAAAGAAGACAATAGGAGACTTATCCACTACAGGTAGGATATTAGCTGTAACTTTAAAGTCAAACTTTGCTGCAAAAATCCTGACCTAAAACTTACAGATCTGAATCTATTCTACACATAAAGATTTCTACACTAACATTTACAATAAAAAAAAAAAAAACTGAAACAAATGTCTGACTTTACAAAAAAAAAGAAGCTCTGCAAATACAAAGTGTTTAGTTTGAGCTCGATCAAACATCATGGACAACAAAACGTCCATTTCCCACAGTCTATACATAAAAATCCAAATATTTCACATCATGACTGCCGACGCGTACAACGATACACGATTTCCAACACTGAGTTAGGGGTGAAATGGAGAATAGACTCCATAATACTGAACTGATTGAAATTTCTTAAAGAGAATACTTTAAAAATAATTTGACAGCATCTTAGACGCCCTGAGAGGATGACTCTGATACAAGTACTATATTTATAGACGCCAATGTGCTTTTTCCCTAAATGACTCCCGGTGTTCAGGCTGGGTATATTCTAGAAGCCGAAAGCACTGATCTCAGAAAATGAAAATAAACAGAGCAGTTATGAAAAGATTGGAGACACATAGGTAACATATACATGGCATGTGTTTAACCAGGAAATTTAACATGGTTAAAATGTGCCCCGATCCTCAGGCTTATTGCTCCGTCTTAGCAGTCATGCCGATGTAGGTTCCATTCTGGCCTTCGTCCTTCTCCTTGACCGGCGTATAAGAGGTGTCTTCTTCTGCTGAGGTCTGCAGGGATGAACAGGTGATGAATTCATTATTTTTTTCTTTTTGTGAGGATCAGGGGTTAAAGGCTTAACATTTACTTGTAGATTTCTGCTGATGAGCTTTAACAGTTGTCGTAAAATGCAGCATAACCAAACCGTGTTAAAGCGTTAAAACCATGTGTGATGAAGAAGGAAATGCAGTTCCATTGAGAAGTTTATAATCACTCATCCTGAGCAAGTATAATCCCCTATATAACATACATATTTCTGTATTTCTTTATTTTCCATAGAGGTGAATAAGTCCTCATCGCAGTTGTTAGCATTTTTTTGCATTGCAGGAAGTTTTTGGGCTCTTTCTGCACAGAGACTGTAATGTTCTGTCCATTTGCTTGACGTACTTGAGCTTTCACCAACTAAAAATAGGCAGGTTAGACTGATAATACCTAAATTATATATATATATATATATATATATATATATATATATATATATATATATATATATATATATATATATATATATATATTATATAAGTAAGTGATAGTGTGTCCCGATAGTCCCTAAAATTCCCTCTGAACTTTATTTCAGTTCTAACATTTAGCCACCTAAATGGTTGGATCTTTTATCACTTTTATTGGTGCAATTGCTAAATTAAATTTAAATCATTTTGTTTAGAAACAAGCAGGAGGTTCTTAAATTAATACATCTAAAACACTCAATGTTAACCTCTCGCCTAAATTCAACACTAATTTTGATGTGTGTTTCAGATCATCATTCTGTTGATAGTTTTCAGTGGCTATTGGTGGATATGATGTGACGTTAATTAAACTTGGAGGTTGTTCCCAGTCTGCATTTGTCCAACTAATGTGTGCAATCTATCAGCTCCACTGAGCTCCTCTGCTACTGCTATGATGCTATCACTGACATATTACTGTTCCGACATTCTTCTTAACATTGAGGATCTCTATTACCGTAACTGAGGCAGAGAGTGCAGGTTTTATAGCAGAATGTTAAATGTTCCTGTTGCCAGTAGGCTTTTTCATTTAACTCAATAAAAAAAAAATGCCTGCATATGTTTGTTCATGCCATAATTTACCAGCCTACTACTTCCTGCTGTCTTATTCGTCTTTTTGCCAGGTGTTTTGTATGTTTGTTAATCATGCAATGTGAAAAAATGTGTTTTTATTGCAGTTTTGTGGAACTTAAAACATTTTTTATGTTTCTGGTTGGGAAATTCCTTTTTTAATACAGTTTGAACAATTTGAAGGTCAATGGAAATGCAGCGATTGACACTAGCCTGAAGCAGGAAAAAAAAAAAAGAAGACCAATAGCAAGAATTTGGAAAACCCTAACCGCGCTAACCCTGGCTCTATTGGAAACTATGCTTGAATACAGAATCTGGAACGGGGGGAAAAAAAAATTATTTTAAAGGATCTTTACTAACTCTGTCAGGATGTCAGGTATCCATCCAGAAGAAACACCAGGTGCTTAAAAAAGATTAAGATCAAATTTCTATGCGATATTTAACAAAACTTTGTTTGTTGGTATGTATATATTTGAGCCTATATTTTTAATTTCAGCAAGTTTGGATTAGAGGAACCAAACTTGCTGACAAGTAAAAAAAAATTCAAGTAATCGTATTAAATTCTTGTCCTAAAACTTATCAGTCTTGTATGTCTTATTATCAGCCCAGCTTAAAAAAAGTAGATAATTCGAAGTTTAAAATAAAAGGTTCATTTTCAGGTTAAGCACAGGTAAACTTCTCATTAGAACTGTAGGCGATACTTCCAGAAAACAATTAAAAAGACAGCAAACAGTATTAATTAAACACAGCCAGACTTACAGTATAGGCAGCCTTGGTAAACACAATGCGCTTAACTTCCTTCTGCACAGAGATACATGGTGATAAACACATGCCAAGTGGAAATAGTGAGGGGTTATGAAATTAAATTAATAAGAATTAACAAAAATTACTGTAAGTTGTTAGAATCAAGCTTTGTTAAGGAGGAGGCACTGTACCTTCTGTTGATGGGCCATGATCAGAAGGATAACAAAGACTAGCAGCAGGATCCCACCCAGCCCCACGATAGCAAGTGGGAAGTTGGACACCACTTTGACAATTGTCAGCAGCTTGTGCACCCGTTCTGCAGATGCATCATCGATCACCACGCTCTGCATCAATACACAAAGTTAAGGACTGTTTAGTTGAAAAAAACAGTATTTAAAATTACCATTAGGTGTAAAACTATTTTTTATAGAATTTATGTTAGAAAATAAAAAATGTTCATGCTTAAAACTTATTTAAGTTCCTATGATCCTATGACCTATGAGCAGATTTATAACAAAGAGGCAATTATATTTAGATTATTAACAGAATGTAATGATAACTCAGAATTTATTGTTTTACTATAAGTCATAGGAGCCTATCCAGCTATTGGCAAAACCCGTCTATGTGTCTATTTACAGTTGTTATCATTTTAAGGGCTGAAACAATTAATCGATTAATTGTGATTAATCGATTATGGATATAATCTTCAACTAATTTAGTAATCAATTAATCATCATTTGGAATATAGAGACTATAAAATGTGTCTTTAGCTCACAGAGCAACCAATCTAAAGTAGTAATCATACCAAGATTGTAAAAAAAAAAAAATATAAACATTTTGCATTTAAGAAAATAAAAAACATTGTTAAACTTTACTAACAGTTAAAAAAAACTGCTAGTATGCTCTATCCAGAACATCTCAAGTGGAAAGGTTTTAGTTTTACCTGATTTATTTTCATTAAAAATCTTTAAGGAACTTTTTTCTATCTGATTATTAATCAGTTAATTGAAAAAATAATTGATTAATTATCTAATATTTTTTAGAATTTTCTTCTACTTCTGTTAAACCCACACAGGATCCCACACTCCCAGCTAATGCATGTTTTTTCCTGATTGAAATGAATCCAAAATGACTGCTTATGCATGAATAGTATTACTCACCTCATTGAGGAACATAACAGGGAAGATAGTTTCATTTAAGAATTTTGTGTCTCTGATTAAAGAAAAAGGAAAAGAAAGAACATATTATAATCCTAAATAGGTACAAACAGATCTTAGTGTTTAATCTGTCCTGCGGTGCAAATACTTACGGGTATCCAGCGATTCTGTTTAACAGGATATTAACCTGTGCTCTTTTGCTTGCACGCACAATTATTCCAGTTGTCTGTCAAGATATTCCATAAAAACAGTACATACATTATTACTGTTGCTAAAAAATTCTGAGATGCAGTCCTGTAAATTCATATATTATAGAAAAGTTTTTATTTTTTAGTAACTCAACATGTGCAACTTGATAAATAATATATACTTAACGTCATTACACAATTTTTGACTAAGGTGTTGATTTAGATTTTTGGTGTCGGTTTACGACTGCTGAAATTTAATTTATATGAGCAAAATCGTGGAAAGTAAAGTGGAAGGAATGGTGCGGTTAGAAGAAGCTACAGAACAGACACGGCTCCTCTATGAAAGAACTGTAAGTTAAAGCTCATTGGTTTCAGGGAAAAATACTAGGTGTGAACTGCAGCTGCATCGAGGCCCCAGGTACACACACATATAACGTATATATATATATATATATATATATATATATATATATATATATATATATATATATATATATA